GCTACCTTTTGCGCTGTCCACTGAGTTAGGTTTAGTGACAACACAGCACTCCTCGCGAATTCCGTCAATTTTCCATGAAATGAATGAAATAAGTCTACTGTGCTCAAAAGTGTAACGGCTCGAAGGAAAAAACAATAGAAACGGTACAAAAACGCAGAACGGGCTCTTGTTGTATCTGTTGAAGCCCGAGCTGGAAGGGTCTATGGATGTCATAAAAGAAAACGTCGCTGCTCCGCCTCCCTACTAAAGAAGCTTGAATTTGACGGCGGGAAACCAGCAGGTGGCGCAGCCCATCGGAAGACGGGCAGAGGCATGAAGCCGTTTAGAGACGGGTTTGTTATGTCGCATGCGGTGCACCTTTCCGCAACACCACCATTTTTCGCTCATTTGCTGGCCTAGCATCCCATCGAGTCGGCGAATTTCCCATATTTCAGCAACCAATTTATCGTGTCACCTGCTCTTAAGCCTCGAAATTATGTACAGGTGAAATTCGCATTTCAATGCCGCCATGATCAGGAAGCAAACTTGAAGATATAGTCCACTCCAACCCTTGTTGGTTGCCAGTGATCTGCTAATTCTTTCAACTACACAGGCTCTTTCGCATGCACCCCTGTTAGCTCGTGCGCTCCAACACTTCCCCAAGCCCAAGAACTCACTGGTAGCTCCATGTCTTCATTCTGATTGTACTGATCAGAAGTAATAAAGGTTAAATGTGCGGTGGTCACTTATAAAAGGAGGGCAGTAGAACCTCTCACAGAACTGAGGAGAAGTCGGCCAGTAACTTCCGAGCCCCCCTCGCTGTAGAAGGATAGCCTATGGCCTTAGTTGTCCGCTGATGGACTAGCTAAACAAACGATCTGGCATTACCAGCCGCAGAAACTGCCACGTTCAAAGGCATGCTACGGGATATAATGGTGTGCAATAGCGTTCAATAAAGTAATGAGGTGAACAGTAGTCTGGAAAAGGAAGACAAAGCCAGAGAAACCACGATTACGTCCCGAATAGAGACCTACCCTATTTCAGCTGCATCCTTTTTGGAATAGAGAAAGGGCGTGTTGGACGAGTTTCACAGACCCAGCTCCAGTTGCTCCAGTGCCAATGATCTTGAACCGCAATGCGCCCGCGCTTTTCAAGCAGCGCCACGTGGCAACCGACAGCGGAAGGCGGGCTTGCGGACGAAGGAGTGGATTGCGGGTCGACGAGCTCCTTAGCGCCTTTGTCGCGCACTTTCAAGCCGCAAAAGGGGCGCGACATCAACGCTTGTCCACCTGTCTACTACGCTCGGGTATGGAACAGGTTAGCGTGTCTAATACGGGAGCGCTATTAAGATTTAAGCGCCTTTAAGTGCGTAGAAGATTTCATATAATCAAGAACTCGTAAATGGTACACTAATCGAAGTTTGGCGCGAGTTATGACGCTGCTTTATCGCAATCAGCCTGGCAGTACGCAGATGGGAAATTCTCAAATGAAACTGTGCAAAAAACTGGTGAGAAATAAGTAGGTTAAAGAAATGAGGGACGGTACAAGAAATGATTTGGAAAAGTTGAGAAATGAAGTTAACAAACCCCAACTGGACGTATCAGCAGCCAAAGCAGCAAAAGAAATAGGCAAAATTTGGAGGGAAAAAAGAATCACCTGAAGAAGATCGCGGCCACTTGCAGACATATTAGGGACCACTTGACCCCACGTCATTGCTGGATGATACAGCGGCATGGGCTAAAATTCGGTTTGTTAAATAACGAATATCAAATGTTCATAATAATGGATAGCTCAAATGCTCTGTACTTTGAAATCCGGTAGTTGTGAAAGGCCAGGCCAAGTGTCATCGGTTGGTGTTCCCAGCTGCTTGAATATTCTCTTAAGCTGATCATCGACATCTGCGCCAGGGAAAAGCGGTCGACCAGCGTTTGAAATCTCTGAAAAGGCTTGCATAAAACAATGCCAAAATTGCATGCAATTCACATCGATATGCACTCACCAGCAAAAATACAACCAGCTGACCACATATCAATTGAAGTGTTGTATAATTTCGCTCCAAATAAAACGTCAGGCGGTCGATACCATAGTGTCACTACCTTCAAAAATGACACAACTTCGGGCATGAAGGATAAAGCATTTGGCTTTGATCAGCTTCTCTTGGGTATGCGCCATGGATTCTACTTCCATTCAAA